ATTAGTCTTTTCTTTATATCTCTCAAAATTCTTATCCCGAGAATATAAGTTGTTTCTCATAGATCCTTCATAGCAAAACACTTTCCAAGCCAATATTTTACTTCTTGCAAGGTTGGAACTTCGTTTCCTATAAGTAGTATGTCATCAACATACAACACTAGAAAAGTTGCTATACTCCCACTAGCTTTGACATATACACATGACTCATCTTCATTTCTAGAGAAACCAAACTCTTTTACGTTTTTCATGAAAGCAAAGATTCCAACTGCGAGATGTCTGTTTCAATCCATAGATGAATTTCTCAAGCGTGCACACTCTATTAGGAAACTTTGCATCAATTGTGCTCCTACTATCCTCTTTTCATATGAGCTCTCTCGTGCGAAAGACTCCTTTTCATGCTACAAAGACCACGTTTTTCACTAGGCCTGTAGAACAAATATCCAAAATACTTTTATGGGTAGCAAATGGAAATACATCTCTCACTTCTGGCTTCTAGCTTGTCATGAGTCTCTCGTCTAATGAAAGCTTTACAAACCCAGACTTTGGTATGTGCTAACGAGGGAACTTTCCCTGTCCATATTTCATGAGGTGTTTTGGCAACCATTTTAGTAGGGACAAGATTGAGGATATGTGAGGTTGTATCTAAGGCATACCCCCATAAGGAAACGGGAAGAGTGGCTTGACTCATCATGGAAAGAACCATGTAGAACAAGGTTCGATTTCACCTCTCAACCACACCATTAAGTTGTGGTGTCCTAGGAGGAGTCAATTGTGAAACTATTCCACATTTCTTGAGGTAGTCATGGAGCTCAATACTAAGATACTTTTCTCATCTATCATATTGGAGCATCTTTATCTACCTGCCTAATTGATTCTCGACTTCATCTTTAAACTCGTTGAACTTTTCAAAGGTTTCTGATTTATGTATGATCAAGTGGATATAAAAGTATCTATTATAATCATCTATAAGCATTACAAAAAATCGAATAGCATCTCTTGTGGTGGATCTGAAGGGTCCACACACATCTGTGGGTATGAGATCCAACAAACCCTCACTTCTTTCAAAACACCCGATGAAAGGTGATTTGGCAATTAGTCTGAACATTTCGGACTTAGTAACATAAGTTCTGAATTTCTTTAGACACACATGTGAGCTTCCTAAGGCAAAGGTGTATGAGTTTAAGAATCTCAGATAAAAGGCTTATCAAAGCATCTGGTATTAGAAATATGAACTTAAGGAATTCAATAAGCATTGTTTTCTGGAAGTTCAGCTGTTTTCTGAATAAATGTCAAAGCTAGTGGGAGCATAAGTGTTATGCCAATAAGGAAATAATCAATATGTTTGTGGGAACATGATTATTATGGTAAGTATTGCAAGTTGGCAATATTAATTATAGAAAACAAGAGTTATACTTTGCAAAGTCGCAAGGGTTGAAAAGTTGTTTTACTATAATTAAGGGAGAGAATATTATACTTCGTTTCAAAATCTAAAGCTTAGATTGAGAATTTTTAATAAATTTAGTCAAAAATACATAGTGCATTCTCAAAATTCGATTATGATTACGGCATCCCTCTTCATAGTTCGAATTGTGAGAACATGGCACATAAAATATTATGGCAGAAGGATGATAAAGTATCATATGTCTTTATGTTAAACATTATGCATCGTGTCCAATACGCTTCGGGTATAGGATCGATTGCATATGCTGTAATATTTGACAATTCTAAATTTTTTCCAAATGCCTAGTGCATTTAGAGGGAAAAGGGACTAGAATCGGTTTTGACTAAAATAATTAAACAACTATCAAAGGACGATACAAAATTCGCTGAGGATTGGTCGTTTGTGAGTAGTTGGAAGTATAGTACTTGATGGACCATATCGACATTATTGTGAATATATAAGATTCTATTTAGAATGAGCTGTCATATGACAAATATGGAAATGTTTCCATATTAGGAGTTGGATATTAAGAATTTTATGTCTAGATTAGAAAACTTTAAGCATAAATGATGTTCAAAGGAATGTACTTTGAGTGGGAGACATGACATCTATAGAATTGTTTTCTAACAACTTCTGATAGAGTAATTTATGATTTCATTAGCCAAGTCTTTGTGACTTTTGTATTGTGACTTCATGAAAGGATCGTTGCATAAAATGTTAGAATCTAACATATTCCAATAGTGGCAAGAATTTTGTATTCTTACACTAATAACGAGGATAAGGAATTGTGAAATGAGCATCATTGGAAAAGTTTTCAATTGATCTATTTTACAAAGTATGGACCATAGGTGAAAAAGTGTGCATGCTTGGGGCATGAGACAACTGTTGTTATAATTCAAGTAATTAGTTGATTATCCGAAACATCAAAAAATAAATAATGAGTAATCAATATGGTGACTAAATAAGAGGTGTTTTATTTATACACAAAAGTTTTGAGGCCATATACGATTAAGTATTATTATTGTGTTTCACTTTGCATGTTTTGACTTTCAAAATAACTGGGTTATTCGAACCTCCAGAGTTGGTCATACATTGGAAGTAGGTATAAAGGAAGATTGTCATAAACCTATCTATAGATTGTCTAAAGTGTTTAGATATAACACAAGTTTGCTGCAGAGTTCTTGAGTGCTTTAATAAGATTAGAGTATTGGATTAAACCCGCGCTCACTTGAATCACTTCATGGATTTTATCACGAGTGATTGTGAGACGATAATATTATATATTCTTGAAACCGAGATGTGTGAGTTCTAATTAAAATTCGGTTACACATTAATAATATGTAAACGCACCAATAACTTGGTGTTATAAAACATATTGTGGTGTGTAATTTGATGAGTAAGAGCAAGCGAGCATAGAGTCGAAGTTTATACATTCCTTTTACCCAAAGTGGGATAAAAACGATATTTGTGGGCCCCTCGATGATTTAGTGATGACACCCTAAGCGCTTGGCCAAGCCGGGACTAAGTTGATGTGTTCAATTGTAGTCTGTTGCCAGTCGTCATAAATCGAATGTCGGGAAACAATACATAGACAGAGAGAATGATTTAAATCCATGTCTCTTGTCTATACGATATATTGTAGAATGGAGGAATATATGATCCCTTATCTAAAGGACACGCGTATTTGATAAGATCAGAGTTGACATAGACTTTTGAAAGTTACGATTGCTGATCAGGTTCTGAAGTTATGCATAATAGTTATTAGACTTATCCAAGTGGGAGACTGTTGGATTAGTGTCTATATCCATAACTATTTTGGTATGTACTTGACCCGATCATGAGCATGGTCCTTTTGAGTTTCCTTCACCATAACAACTTGTAGGAAGAATTAAGGAGAGAAAGGATTGATTATGATTTATTAATATATTATAAGAATAATATATTAAAGGAGAAATCATATTGTCTAATTAATATTAGTCAAGAATTAATTTTGTGGCTAAAAGAGATTAATTAAACTTAGGGGTCTGGAAGTGTAATTATAAGATAATTGCAATTGGGCTATAGATCACCTTGGAATATAGGTTGGACGAAATTGATGGGAAGCCTATATGATTTTCATCCAAGGGATGTTCCACAGGGAGTCCATAGGCTGCTTAGGGCTTAAGCAGTCAAATTAGGGTTTCCTTGTTAGATAACCCTAATAGCCTACCTATTTAAAGGACCCCTAAGCCCCAAAAACGTGGACAAGAGTTACTCTAGGGTTTCTGGACGTGTTTGGTGCCTCCTCTCTTCTCCTTCTTCATCCTTATTGCTTATGGTGTTTGTGGCTCCATTAGAGGTGCAACATTTGAGGCACTAAGCTTTCCAAAGCCAATTACAAGAAGGATTAAGATTGTTATTGCTACATAACAATCAAGGTAAGATCTAAACCCTAGTTTATATGTTAATTTGACTACTTGTATGCTAGATATAGGGTTTGTAAGTCTTGGAAGTTTATTACATGTTCAAAGTTGAAAAACTAGATCCAAGCAATTAGGGTTGCATGAACACCATAGAATTGATGTGTGCTCAAAACCAATCGATATGTAACAAAAAATAAACATTGTAAAAAAACATTGAACATAAAATACATATAATCATATATTATTTATACTATTTAATAATAATTAGAAAAACATAAACAACATTGCAACACAACGTAATTATGAATTCATTTTTAATGGGGTTGGCTAAAAAGACATCTTATTTTTCCATTTAGACATCCTATTTGATTTTTAAGATTTTTTTATTGGTTGAATTTGCATTGTTTTTCCAAAAAATAAATTATAAATATTTTAGGATTGGTTGACTTTTAATAAAAATGCTCATAAGATGTCTAAGGGGTGTCAATTTAGTAACACCCTTTTTAATATAAAGTTGTGGGCTAGTAGGCCACATATGCAAAAAGAGCGAACAACTGACCCATAATTAGCGTCACAAGTTTGCCCCAAGCGAAAACTTGACAATTTTACCCTTTATGAAAAGATTGGGTGAAAACTGTTTTCACGATTCTTATAAATTTTTAAGTTTGTGGATCCGGGCTATATATATATATATATATATATATATATATATATATATATATAAAAGTTGAGAGTTTAAATAAAAAGTTGAAAGTTTGAATAAATATATATATATATATATATATATATATATATATATATATATATATATACATGGTCCAACCCAACTCTAACTATTTTCACTTACACTTAAAAATTACCTCCAATGCATTGTAACATTTTATTTACAGTAGCTCCTCTTCAATCTTTGGTCCCTGGGGAATATTGCAGCTACTTATTTAATTTGCTGGATTATTGTTTTGCCACTTTATATATTTTATAAATTTACAACCTTTTAAATCATTTTTATTTAAAATAAAATAAATTATTATTTAATGATACCTATTATAATAATAATAATAATAATAATAATGATAATAATAATAATAATAATGGTTCAACCCGGCCATGTTCGTATGGATCGATAGGCCCATGTATAATAACGGGTCCAAAGGCCCATGTATCTAAATATAGCACTGGAAGACGAAAAGAGTCGGAAAATGGAGAGGTTCCCGAAATAGTAGTTGCGTAAAGATTCGTCAAATATGCAGTGCAGTAACAGCAGTTTGAAAGGGAAACGATCAGAGCCCCGTCGGAGATACGATTACGATCGCTTGTTGAATTCACATCCACCACTGTTCCGATGGCTACAAACAACCCAGAGGCTCAAGGATCGTCGGCTCCGGTTAAACCAGCTCTTCGAAAGCCGGTGTTTACTAAGGTCGATAACCTTAAACCGGGAACTACAGGTCTGACACTCGTTGCCAAGGTTCTTAGCTCCGAAATTGTGTTGCAGAAGGGACGTGCTGTTTCTCCTAATCTCCGTAATGTTCGCATTGCTGAATGTCTCGTCGGTGATGAAACCGGAACCATTCTCTTCACTGCTCGCAATGATCAAGGTAACCTCGCGTTGTGTTTTTTATTTAGTATTATTTCTGTGTTGCAACCCTAGAAAATAGAGCGATCGGATCATATTGTGTTAATGCTACGACCGTTCGTTTTGAGTTTCTATTTTCATTTGTGATGATGTGACTTTTTAAACCCTAGGCATGATTTCATGATTCACTGTTCATGTTTAGTAAACCGTGATTCGAAACTTCACTTTCATGACATGTCTGTTGTTTTGAGTTTGTTTCTTTGAGTTACTACTTACTACCACATTTTGTAGTCAACTTTTGACTTTGTAGGGTCAATTGAGCCATATTCTAACTCTCAAGTCTGCGGATAACTACATAGAAGTTATTAGAGAAAAACATTTGGGGATAAGAAACTAGAAGCAACTTTGTATAACAATCTTTGCTCATTCTGTTTTACAGTTGATCTTATGAAACCTGGTGCTGGTGTCATCATTCGAAATGGAAAGATTGACATGTTCAAGGGCTCGATGAGGCTTGCTGTTGACAGGTGGGGTCGTATTGAGGTAACTGATCCTGTCACATTTGAAGTTAAAGAGGACAACAATCTTTCTCTTGTGGAGTATGAGCTTGTAAGTGTTGCTGAATAGGTAACCCATCTTTCTTATGCTTAATTATGCTAATAGCCTGATATACTACGGGTATGGATCAGAATAGAAACATGGATCTCTCCGCTTTATTATCAAAAACATATAACTATGGTGGGATCTTGATTGGGGGAATGTTTTGGCTATTCTGTTTATATATTTATGATATAACTATTAGGTCTTCATTGCTCTCATCTCAATTTACCTTAAGTTTTTCTTTCAATGTTTTCTGATGCAATAGTCGAGTGATTAAACAAATATAAATCTTGATTGGATTGACAAAAGCACGATCAATGAACATGTGATGGGTTAATCACTCAATTCTTTACACCTTTTGTGCACATAAAAGCATGCACATTTAAATTCAAAGACACTTGCTGTACATTTTACTAACAGAATAACATCAAGGGAGCAAAAGTAATTACATTGAGTGACTATGCATTAAAAAAATATCTGTGCTTGAATTATGTTATACTAAATCAATATGAACATTTTATTGATGAGAATGCTTTTGGCAAAAAGACTTCACTCTATCAAGAGCTTCTTCAAGAGAAGATGGGTCTGCAGCAAAAGTTACACGAATCCAGTTTTTCAAACCTACAGTAAGTCCTGCAAAACCCAAAAAGATGCATATTTATTAGGTCGTTATAAAATTCAACAAAATGTTACAAAAGAATTGTAATCACCTGGAAGAAGAATCACGGATTCCTCTTTGGCTAGCTTGAAACAGAAGTCAATATCATCACTAATATCTTTTAATAAAGAAACATTCAGTTTAACCTACACAAAACAAAAGAAACAATTTTAACAAAACTTTAAACCATTTACCTTTATATATAAAACCAAAGCACCTAAACCCTTACCATAACAGCCATAGCTCCTTGTGGTTTTTGTGGGCATGTCAAACAAGGGATTTCTTGAATTTTCCTGAAACAAATTTCTGAAGTGTTCTTCAATATGCTAAGTGTTCTTGTAAAAAACACTTCTTTTGTATCCTCAAGGATCCGAGGAACAGCTGCCTGAAACATTAAAAATGTTATCATTTTTAAATCTTAAAAACTTATGAAAATGGAAGTTAGGTGAAAACTTAAGGTGCACCATGTGGAAGTTACACAAAGCATTAAATGTAGAAAGAGATATAAAAGAAGCACCTGAATAAAGGTTGCTGGACCACCACATATATCAAAGTACTTCTTTAGGCGCTCAATGTTCTGAGAAAACAAGAAAGATTATTTTACAATTCAAAATATTTATAATTTAAAAAATAAAAAAGTTGTTTATTACCTTAGCATTCTTGAAGATTCCATTAGGATCAGTTGTAACAAACCACCCAAGCCTCCAACCTGGCACTATCCATCTTTTTGACAATGAACCGAGTGTAAGAATAGGAACCATTGACCCAAAAACACCCATTGGCACAAAAGGGTTTTCCCCAAAAGCTAAATGCCCATAAACTTCATCTGCTATAACAAGAATCTTATGCTTCTTTGCTGTTTCTGCAATCTAATAATAACCTCAAATCAATACCTTTAATGGTGGAAATCGTGGAATGAAATCACAAATACATATGCATGTTGTATTTAGTAATTACCTTTTTTAAATGTTGATAAGTGTAGACATTGCCACAAGGATTCCCGGGGTTTATGATAACAATTGCAACTGTATTCTGATCGACTAATGCATTGACTTCATCCAAGTCAACCTCCCATCCTTTTTCTGGAATAAGATTAAAATGTCGAATTTCTACATTTCTAAAAGCTGCACAAAGTTCATAAATTGGGAATCCTGGTTTTGGAACTAAAATATTTGCATTTGGTTTAGCTAGAATCGATATAGCAACTTCTATAGCTTGTGTGCAGCCAGCTGTTATATAAACATCATCAGGGGTTAGTTTATACGGGAGATCTTTCGATAAATATTCCGATATTGCCCTGAAAGTAAACATAAAGAAAGAACAAAACTAAGTTTTTTTTTTAAAAAAAAAAAATTGAAAAATACTATGTAAAAGAAAACTTACTTTCGCGTTTGTGGGAGGCCAATAGTAGGTGAATAGCCATTGAATTTGTGGGATTCAAGAGTTTGAACTACAGAGTCTTGAACAAGATCAGTTGTGGTGAAGCAAGAATAGGCAGTTGGGTCTCCCATTCCTAAAGAGATTACTCTCTTCTTGTTCTTTTCATCAAGACATGACATTAAAATACCCAGAATACCCTTTATGGTTATGTTTGTTGGTGTCTGCATCTTGAAACTGATGGGGGTGTACTTGTCTTTGCAACAATATATGCTATTACTGTACAAGGTAACAGGATGTAACTTGGGTGTTATACTTGGTAAAAAGTTAAAGTGTGATGAGTGTTGACTATGTTGATACTACGAGATAAGCGTATTGCTATTTGGTTTAATTTGATATCTTGATTTTTATTTATTTATAAATTTTTATTAGTTCTTTATTGTTTAATTAAATCAATTTAAAGTAATATATTATTTACAATTACTTTAGGCAATTTTTGATCTGTTTTTTAGCTTCTTTTTATGTTGATAAAGAGAACTTAAATTGACTATTATATAAATATATAGGTAAAAGTCATATATGATTGTATGTAGTTTGTACCATAGAAAATGAAAAAATCATTCAAAAAAAAAGAAAAATACACATTTAGAGTTACATAAATGGCAAATGAAAACATGTAGAAAATGATGGATACATTTTTTCGACTTTTTTCATCTGTTTTTCTACTTTTATAAGTTTTTAATTAAGTTTAAGTTAGGAATGTATGTTTGTTTAAACGGCAAGCTATATAAAAGTCATTGAAGTTTCAGATTTTTTTTGGTTCAACCCTCATAAAACATTTATTTAAAAAAAATCAGTGTAACCTGGTATATGTGGTTCTCTGAGGTAAAATAGAAAAAACTACTCCAGTTTTGCGTTTTTTGGTTTTATAATCCTAACACATTTTCTATCGTTTAACCACAAAAACTTCACTTTTTTAAAAAGAACCAACCATAACAAAGACAAAAAGCATAGATTTTTTGTTTTAATTTCTGGAATTTATTATGTTTGGCATATAGATCTTAGGAGCTTTAAGAAAAAACTCGAAAAAAAAATAAAATCAATACGAGTTTAAGTTTTTTGCTTTAATTTTTATTTGAAACAAAATGCTCCTAACTAAAAGTTACTTCAATGAGCTTTTATTTTCCACTTTTTGAGCTTTTTATTTGAAACAAAATATTTATAATCCAAAAACTATTTCAATGAGTCATTAAGAATTTTTATCTTACAAGTTAATTTTATCAAAATTTTCCACACATAAACCGAATATGACTTATAGGAGGTCAAGGACACTCTTTGTATCTTATGCAAATACTGACAAACCCTTTTTTTTTTTATTCCAAAATTGACATTTCAATAAAATAGGGAAAACCTTTACACACAAATGTTATGAGGAGTGGTGAGTTTTAGGTAGAAAAAAAGGTATTGTTTTATGTCATAAATCATAAAAAATATCATCACGTGGTTAAACTGAAAAAATACTAAACTATTCTAACTTTTATATAATTTAGTTTTAATAAAAGTAGAAAACCCTCTATATCCGGTTAAAGATAAGTTAATTAGTTAAACATCAAAATATAGAATAATCAATGGCTAAGAATAATATTTTAACAGGGTAACTTTACTTGATTATGCACGAGTTAGTTGAAACATCTGCTTTATAGAAGCCAACCGTAAACGATCTACGATTCCTAAAAAAATGAATTTTTATATTTACATGGAAGCAAAAGCAAAGTTTGTTTATAGAAGAACCTTTAAAACGAAAACACCTTGATTTAAGCGGTTTTATGTATATGGTGAAGAGAAGGAAAGAGACTAGAGAGTGGAACATACCTTACGATACAAATATTAAAGGAAAGGAATTACCAATTTGGGTTTCAAACTCCAAAAAATTAAATGTGTGAGCGATGATGATGCATCGTCATCCTCGTTGCATTGCATGTTCTATATATACCCAAAGAGAAAGACGGCGGTTCGATTTTACTGACGATAGCTCCACGACACTTGGGAAGGATTGGATAACGTTTCATCCTACAAATCAAACCCCATGAGTCAGCACACATGTCACATGATAAGCCTAACATATCAACAATTCATCAATCATCACCAATCCAAGACGTCTCTCCCACTATCAATGTTTTAAAAACCGGTTTGAACCGGCCAGTCGAACCGGTTGGACCGGGAACAGGTGGAGGGAGCGTTTCAACTATCACCGGTTTTATATTAGTTTCTGAACCGGATTGAACCGGCCGGTCTTTAGAAAAACCCGATTGAATCGGTCAAAATAAACCGGTTGAACCGGTTAAACCGAATAAAAACATATGAAAAAAAATCATTTATGTAATAAACTTTGATAATTTTTTTTTCAAAACTATTTAGTTTTCTCTAAATAAAAACATATGATAAATGTTATAAAGTTTTTTGATGTAGTTATATTCATCTAATTATATTTGGTTTCGATATTATATTTTATTTTCTTTTTAGCGTATATGGATTGATGTAAAACATTAAAACTTATGGTTATGTGTTATTTTAATGTATTTGGATTCATTTACAACTTATTTATACGTGTATTTTTAATGTTTCAACTTGTAAACATCAAATTCATAATTTATATATGCATGTATGTGTAGAAAAATAGATAAAAAAACATGAAGAATATAAAAACCGATTCGCTCGGCGGTCGAACCAGTTAAACCGGGAACTGATCGTTATACCAGTTCAATTAAAAAACCGGTTTTTAAAAACATTGCCCACTACTACTACTTAGCCATTTCATATACTTGATAATTGCCCACTACTACTACTTAGCCATTTCATATACTTGATAATATATTTCGCTAAAAATATTTAAGTCACTCTAATTAGCTATGAAATAACAACTTTTTTAAAAACATTGCCCACTACTACTACTTAGCCATTTCATATACTTGATAATATATTTCGCTAAAAATATTTAAGTCACTCTAATTAGCTATGAAATAACAACTTTTATATATTAAAACAAAAGGTAGAATAACTGTTATAGTTGGAGTTCCGAAACTATAACTCTTATCTTATAACAATAGAAGTTGATGATGTAAATTAGATCTATGAACTTTTTTAACTCATAATATATTATTATTTTGATATTAGAAATAAATAAGAAAGACGATCAAATCGTAGTATATTAATTTTTGAGAGCTGAAAAATAAGAAAATTCAACTAGTGTCTGTAAAAAATAATCATATTATTTGAATTGTTATAAGATAACAAAGGTTTAACATAAAATAAAATAAAATGATATGAAAGAAACTTATGATGATTAACTTAATATATAAATAAATAAACCATAATGAGAACAAATAATAAATATCTTAAATATTTACATAAATAAAAAATTTATAAATTTAATATCAAATAAAATAAAATAATATTAAAGAAATTTATGATGATTAACCTAATATATAAATAAATAAACGATAATGAGAACAAATAATAAATATCTTAAATATTTACATAAATAAAAAATTTATAAATTTAATATCATAATAAATAAATAATAGTAAAATTTCATCAATGTTAAGTATAATAAAATGAAAACATTGTCCGGTTCATATATGTATTATGAAAACTTTCTATTTTAGACTTTTTGTTAATGAACTAAGTTAATAACATTTCAATGAATTATTGTTTTAACGTTAATCAACTACAAATCAAAAGATATAAGCATCATTCTTTCAAACATATTTTGAGTTCAAGACGAAAGTGAATAAAAAGCTCGTAAAATACACAAATTTCATATATATATATATATATATATATATATATATATATATATATATATATATATATATATATGGGTAAAGTGAATATACCTAACAACCTTAGATAAGCTTAGGTACCTAACCACATCATATTACGTAATTTTGTATCATATTTGCATTGTAATCACCCAAAGTTCTTAAAATTGAACCTCATAACTTATTTACATTCAAAATCTTTGGAGTTTCACAATTATCTTCCTTCAAATGATGTCTTTCTATTGGAGATCCCTTGATGGGCTTCATATACTACCGTTACAAATCAAATGGTGTAGGAGGAATATAATGGTGAATGTCTGAAAATCTTTGAAGTAAATCAAGTTAAGGGTTGAAGTTTAAAAACCTTAGACGATTGCAATGGAAATATAATGCAAAACGATGTAGTATAGTGTGGTTAGGTACCTAAGCTTATATAAGGTTGTTAGGTATATTCACTTTACCTTATATATATATATATATATATATATATATATATATATATATATATATATATATATATATATATATATAACTCAATAATTGAAAGAAAATTATTTATACTAGCATCTAAATATAACATTTTTTATTACAAAAAAAATTTCTACATACATGATCCCTATGATGAATCAATGAATCGAGTCTGAAATTAATCATAGTAGACATTTAAGAATGAATGAATAATTGGACACAAGATGTAAATAAGATTTCGTTTTAGCTCAATTACGCTTTAAGTGTTTTACAGAGAAAATAGACAATGCTATTCACGTTATCTAACTCTAGTAAATGATCATATTTATAAGATATCTAAAGCGTACAAAAAAACATACCAAGGCATTAACCCTTAAGCTTCGAACAAAAGAGCCTTAGTAAAATACATTATAAATCATACGAAGAGTACAAAATAAGCTTCGACTCATTACAACAAAACTACCTTTACAATCTTCCCCTTTGTAATCATAGTCGAAGACTTCAGTTCGTAAGCAGTTGAATGGAATACAACATTACTATTCGTATCTCAGTGTACCATGAGATAATCTTCTTAAGTTCCTTTTTATCTCTTTCATTATTCTTCTTACAATGATTCATACGAACAATTAAATTCGTATATTGCGAAGTTGAGTACCTTTCCACCTCACCAGCCTGGAACAAAAAACGTTTTGATTTCCCAGACTTGTCCTTCCCTGAGAAGACTAAACCAAATGGCTTCAAGCAAATTTCACCATCGACATACTTCTTTAATTCTGCTTGTGTCTTCGAAGGAGCCATAGGAGCTGTAATTTCCAGTCCTTTAGCTGTAGCCAACTCCACATCAGTTAATGCTAAGCATTCATAATAATTTTCAATAAAAATCTTGATGTGAGTAACTCCCAACTTGTACTCATCTGGATCAGTATTCTGAAGATATGAGAACAATCTTTCCTTCAGTAGTAATGCAACTTGTATAAGATCATACAAGTTTATTAAAGGAAAATCTACAATTGTAAACTCACAAACATTCCCATTCGCCCTGGTCACCACATACTTCATATTTTGGACTGTGTTTTCGAAAACCACATCCTTCTTTATGCTGATAACTTTCTTTAT